TGTTATCACGAATTTTTGGAAACATACAATCACATAGCGAGGGCTTTCGAGAAACGAGGAAGTCTTGACGGCCCATATTTCATTTTTTGCACCTTGTGTGAGAGCAGGCAGCAAATGAAGTTCCCATTTTCAAAACGGTATGAGAATAGGAGTGTCTGCTTGGATAGCTTTCAAAAGTTGCAATTTAATTTGATCATGCGGAAAGAGTCGTTTAACTTCCAGTTTGATATTTTCAATTTCCAATTTAACTTCCGTTTTCGGTTTTGGTGCAGCAGAAGTCTCTTCTATTTTGAAACAGTTGCTATCATCTTCAGCTCGTACTAATCAAATGGAATGCTTACGGTAGGAAACATACCGATAGTCGTTGAAAATATTCAAAAAATGCTTGATGGGTATGAGCATGTTGAATGTTAGATGAGTTGTGTTGATGACGCCCGTATTGTTGGAAAAAGTCCAACCGGAGGTGACCAAGTGTTTGATATCTTCGTCGGTGTAGATGAGAAAGCCTCTTACAGCACTAACAATTCCAAGTTCACGAACTGCTTCCAATTGCTTACCTGTATGCTCATAACTAGCAGATTGAAACATGAAAACACCAGCATTGTTTACGAATGACACCTTACCGTCCCCTTGGGTCTTCTCAACTTTTCCACTAATGAACAGCAGACTATCGAACAAAGCATCGTAGGCATCGGATTGATTGATGTTGATTTCAATAACATCGTTTTTGCGAAAAGACTTGACATAAGGATTTAGGTACGCCACTCTACTTTTTGTATGGACTTATCGATTTGCGGTTTTCAGAAAATGTTGAACACTTGATTGGACAACATGATAACCAAGAGATTCTAGAAACAATTTATTTTCCGTTGTCAATAGTTGTCGACTAGTGAAGGTCTTGGTGAAGACTGACTTAGAGTATGGAGGTGAATTATTTTTATAGATAGTCAGCACCATACTTTCACTTCAATTCCAAACGAATTATTATTTCTTCGGTTCGGAAATCAATCAGCCTAGAATGTTGGTCGAGCACTCGCAGCGTAATATTGTTTATTTCGTCTCTATGTGCAATAGGTAGGTAAATGGGGTGATTAGGTGTTTCGTTAATTGCATATCCCGGATCAACATCAACAGCAAATTCGTATATCGTATGAGTCGGTGAGTCGTTGTAGAATGCTCCAACGTAATATTGCTATCTATGTGTATTGTGCGTACTTTAATGATATCCATAGGTAGATCGGATTCGTAAAGTACGTTTGGTTTGAGAAGAGTAGATGAAAAGCCCAGTATGTGAGCCAAGCTATTTGCAGGTCGTCAACGTCACCAGTTTCGTAAGATCCAACAGGGATATCGATGCTTTTTTGTTTAGTTTTGTCAGCGTTATCATGGAAGTAGAATTTCGTACCTTCTTCAATATTGGGTATACTGTTTTACGAATCGAAACTGAGCAAAGCCAAAGTATATTCAGAATCAGAATCAAATCGAATGGGTGGATTGAAATCGATGGAGAGCGTCGAAGAACGACTCGTTAGCGTTAATATCATAGACATGACTGATATAATGTCAGTATGACATCTCCTTAAATAATGATTGAAACAACAACATTTTGAATAAAATCGTTTATTTCTACAATAATTACATTCTATTTGTGAACTTACAGGACCATAATACATTGCATTTTATAGCGATGACGCAGCTGATGTAGGTGGTGGTACCTCATATCGGTAATGGATGAAACATGATAAACGAATCTGCAAAGCAAATCGATGTTGGTAGTCCTTTGGTAATCTATGCCAAACATCCAATAATTCCCGAAGTTTAGCATTCTCAATCAAATAGTCGATCGATAAAGTTTTCAATTCCGCATCGGTTGAATCTCGCAAAGATTTATCTCCAACCATTTTTGCAGACATTATGGAGCAGAAACTGTAGACACAGATGTCCGCAATTACTCTGATCGAAATTTTGATACTGATCAGTGTCATATGTAATCGTTATATCCCCTCCAAATTATCTTACCAATTCCATTGGAGGTTTGAAATTACCGAAACTATCAAATTATTGTACAGCATTGCCATTCTTAATGTAAGCTACCCAATGAGTGCCTTTATTCAATCCAGAATTCAAATTCAATACAGCACATTCTCGCAGCCGAGGACCACGAGTTGGCAACGTGTCGCGCATAAAGACTCCACGAAAATGTGGAATTCTCAGTTGACGGGTACATTTTTGAATTTTCGAATCGTATAATGCTCTATGGGGTAGCTTCAGTAGGAGTTTTTTTGCTTGTTCAAGTAAAAACCTCGCCCTTTGCGTTGTTGTTGTTTCTTCAGGAACAGACCAAATCCTCGGGGTGTGTTGCGTAGGTACAAACCGGAACCTGAATGTTCCATAGCTTTATTGTGACGTTGATCTTCAAGTTCCTTTTTGGTATTTTCAGCATCTATTACGGTTTCTGCGATAGCGCCTGCTCCACCTGCCAACGAACCCAAAGCTGAAAGGGCAGCGAATATAAGTATGAGTCGTAGGATTCCTCCAGATTTTGCTTCAAATGGTATTATCCTAGGTATCTGTATGTTTTTACGTCTTCCAGCTTGACTCAATGCCATTTTAGCAGCTTGCAAAGCCGAAGCACTAGATTTCTTAATATTGCTAGGATGTGGCTTCCAATTTTTAGTAATTTTTTGAAGCGTATCACGTCAAAAGGACATCCCCATGCCCAGCTTACGTTTCGCTTTCATTGTTGTAGTTACGAGCCGAGCTGCAGCTTTTCCACCAAATCTAGAATCTTTCGATTTAACGCGTTCCCAAGCTCTATTTTTCAACACTTGATCTGCTTTATGACGGTCTTCTAATGAGTCGCTTTGAGAGTACGTGATATCGTGATCTTTACAATATTCGTCCAAAGGATTTACACCGGTGTCACCGCGTTCCAATCTCATTTTCAATTTGATGCCTAGTACGCAAAACTGATAACCAGGTAGATGTAATTCGAACGGGAGCTTATTGATAATCGAATTGACGACACCTGCACCGGAGTGAGTTAACATTGAGAATGATTGGGTGATAACTGTGATGTTAAATATTATAAGATATTCCAAGAATATTCCCAAGGAATATTCTTAAAATATATCAAAGGTTCGCCAGGAGCACTTCCAGGAAATATTCTCCAGAAGATATATATATATAGCCATAGCATATTCATAGCATAATACAATATCCTTAAATGTATATTCATGAAATATACCTGGAATATCTATTGCTATGTGGGATTCTTGAACTAATCTATGATATACATTCAAACATTCAGCTCGGTAGCACCCGAATGTATAACTCTCAGACTCATAAACATAAAAATATATTAAATGTTCTTTCGAAAAGAGTACATACTTCAAGCTGACATTTACACCAATCATCAAGCATACATCAAGCATACAATCATCAGCGTGCGTGCCATACAACGGAACGGTTGACTTTCGACTAACATTGTACACGATTGAGGCACTGAGTGGGGCAGAAAAGGGTTGCCCAGAATTCACCCACTATCTGGCTTATAGTGGGTGGCTGAATTTGTTCTCTGTGACAATTTTGAGATATTGGACTTTTGACCGGCTGGAAAGGTGAAATACCCTTATGGACGCACTGATTCTTTTGGTTGCATTATGCTGATTACATTCGAAGGAAAAAACTTAGCAATAATTTTGCCCACGCGAAGTCCTTCTCCAGGGTGAGATGGGGCATTATCCATTAACAAGACTGCTTTAATAGGAAGGCAGTTTCTTTTCAAAAACTTAGTCACAGAAGGCACAAACTCTTCTTTAAACCAGATAGTAAATAAATTCGCATCCATTCTCTTCTGATTCTTGTAGTACACTGGTATTGGATGGAATATCCTTCAAAGTCCTGGGACGTGCAGTCTTTCCAATCACCATCAGAGGGAGTTTGTGCTTCCCAGATGCATTGGAACATGCCATTATGGTTAATCTTTCCTTACTCCTCTTACGCCCAGGAGCTGATATTTCCTGTTGAGACGCCAAGGATTTTGAAAAAAGCATTTTATTATTCACACAACTTTCATCGCAGTTATAAATTCGATCATACGAGTACCCACTATCTTCGATTTGCATTTTAAAGTGTTGCTTAAATTTTTCAATTGATGATATATCAGCGGAAAGTTTCTCTCTACATACAGTTTAGTTGTCGTACACCATACCGTTTTTTCCAGCGGTCAAGTCAACCAGAACTGGCTGTGAACTGGTCTGATTCTGGAAATTGCCTACTAAACAATATTGCCTTCTGTTGTGAAATTGGACCTGACAAAGGCAAACCTTCTGATCTTTGTTGGTTAAACCAAATGCATAATGCTTCTTTAACTTTTTCAAATTCGCCAGTTTTCATTGACTTTCTCCCCGTGGACGAAGAGGCTTGTTTTATACACCATTCTTCAATTTTAGTGCGATTTCTTTTACAATCTCCAATTGTTACCTCCCTTACTCCATAATCTCGTGCAACAACTTTGAGTGTTTCACCTGCTTCTACTCTTTTGAAAACTTTTAATTTTTCTCCATTTGGAATGACAATTCTTTTTCAACATGTAGGTACATACACGCATCTACCAGAAGATTGTCGTGACGGTCCAACTGAATACATAGAGTAGTATATTTCTGCTGAATGAACTTCGTGTGAACACAAAAACAAACTGTAAGCACACCACACACTTTCACATGCTAACTAACTCCAGAAACCTAAACGGCAGTTTTAGGGGTTTCCTAACACTATTCGTGGATTCCCCATCGATTCTAAATTGAAATACCCTACCCCTACAAGATCGGTTAATCCGGAGCTCGGTTAAACACGACTCGAATAAACGGGGGTCTACTGTATATTCAGCTTGGGCTACTGTATTGTGTTCGGTGTTACCTACTTGCCTGTAAGAAATAAATGAGTTCTTGAGAAAAAAGGTTTTGGCTTTCTACTTTTCCAGCTTCATACAAAAAAAATGTGAGAATATTCTTTTATTTCTTTGGAATCAGAATCTTTTATTACTTCTGTACATTCTAGTGAATCATTTCAGTGTATTTGGGTTACTTATTTTCCCACAGAATACAATACTTGTGGTTGGTTTATCTACTATGAAATACAGGAACGGTCTGTTTGCTTGGAATCTTGGAGGCCTTGATTTGTTTTCCAAACTAGCTCCTGTAAAACACATTGAAAACATCATGAGAACTCAAAAGTCATAACACAATCTAGTGACTATTTCTATATCATTTTATACTGGACATTAAAAGGTAATCTGAGAAATCAATTAATCAGAAATACTTTGGGAAAGGTTTTTCATTCTTAGTCCTTCATTTTACCGAATTTATCATTTTCGGACTTTAATATGAAATTCGAATTTTGCGTTGCGTGGGGTCAAAATCGATTTCCAAGCAACTTTTTCAAATAACTTATTTCGGTATCATCAACGCGAAGCAACATATCAAGAATTTGTCCTTTTCATAGGAAAGCAGTAGGTTAGGTTACGACCCTCCACCGTCACTCGCAAGGGTTTATTATGGCCCACACCTATTCACACTCGACCAAATCAACCCAGCTTCTTAACGAAGCCAATCAGTTCGTATGGTGAGTGGTATTTCAGGTCGGATGGTAAGAGTACGGCTCTGCCAAATTATAATATCCTGATTCGGTCTCCAGCGGGGCAGGCAAAAAGTATGTGCTCTGATGTTTTATCATTTTCCAAAGAGAGGCGACACACACTGTCTTCCGACAGTCCGAGTCTCTGCATATGATGATTCAAATGACAGTGACCGGTAACAAGGCCTGTTAGTTCATCGTAGTTCATCCCTACTGTAGTCCAACAACTGTTTGGTATCAAGCTTCGAAGGGTGAATAAACGTCTTGAAGTGAGCCAATCCTGGAAGTTTCTGCCAGAAGTTCATAAATCTTCTTGACATCCAGGTGTTCAATCTTCGTTTGGCAAGGCTGGTGTTCGATGAGGACTGTAGTTAACATGTGGGCAGGCTGTTGGGTATTCAAAAAGGAAGGGATAACCCGGAAAAATCAATGAAGGACGACACTAACCTCCAATTCCCCCAACATCAACTCCAATTCGGAAATCTCCTTGCCCTCTGGTTTCACTTCCTATTATTTGATCGTGGGGTACCCCGGTAGCGATTTTGAAGGAATCTTGAAGGATGCTGTCTTGGAAGTAGATATTTGTAATTTTCACGTCACAAAACATTTAGCGGAACACACGTCTTGCTTGTCTGTTTTTCTATCCACGACTGTCCCTCCGACTAGAGATGGGTAGGTAATTGAGGAACGGTATTTTGGAGCGCGATTTTATGATACCGTACCGTCGCGGTATTCAAGAAAGATGCGCGACGGTATTTTCAATAGACGGTATCTATCGCAGAGTATCGTACCGCATCGTGTCGCGTCGCCTCTTGGCCTCTCAGTTCTCAGTTCAGTTCCTACTGTTCCTAGTAGGAACACGATACTTACGTAGAACGTATACTGTACCGTTTCTCTCTGTCGTGGTGGGTAAAGTGAGAATGGAACACCATCGCGATATATCATCCGCAAGCTGTTATGGATCTTTTTGGCACATGTATTACCCCCAATTGAGTATTAGGCGGTATTGGTCGATATTCAAAGCAGTTAATTAATGTTTGGTTGAGATCGATATGAAACATTTTTTGCATTTTATTTGAATGATTTGTCATCAGGTAAATGAGATACATGAAATAAAATTAAAAATTTACTTCATAAAATTAACAAAAAATCAAATATAAACACAGAGTTAAAATGAATAAATGAAATCAAACAAAATAAAAATTCTATATGAAATAAAAACCGAAAAGCAAATGTTCTAAAATAAAAATGAGCTCACAATAAGGTAAGTACCTACACGAAATTAAATAATAATCCTATCTATACTATAACATCACAAAAATATCAGTCAAGATTCAAGGATGAGTTTATCTGATGAAATAACTAAATGAGCGCGTAAAATAAATAAACAAATACATACATTTGCGGAGTTATTTGTGGGAAAGAAATTTGAAATTCGAATCGGAGTATAGTTCATTGAAGCCGATATTTCTACAGGCTCAACCAAAAATTAACCCAAGTTAAAATTTTAAATAGAGCCCTGTACATTTCATCAGATCAGTTGATGAGATATGAAATTATCTTTTCGAGGTTATAATACAAGTGACTATTTTTATTCAAAATGACGGCGTAGGAGTCATTTCCTCCAAATTCAATATGGCCACATAATGTTTTTACGATATTTCAACCATGAAACCACTATATTGAATTTGAAAAAAATGGCTGCTATGTTGTCATTTTGAATAAAAATAGACACTTGTGATATAACATTCAAACAAGAATTTCATATTCTTGAAACAGTATACAAAGTTATATTCTATTCTGTTTTATGACTGTTGTAAACTGTCCAGATGGTAGAGAACCAGAACAGGCCCTGAGATTCAATTTCAAAGCTTCTACAACCTACAACGCAACGGCGATACGCATGACGTTCCATAATGCTTAGTATGGTCGTTCCTTCTCATGAAGTTTCGCTATGGAGTATTCAGTATTTAATCGCGGTATTTTCCAGTCGCGATCGCGACTGGAGCGCTCCAACGAAGGAACGGTATTTCCCATATCTACCTCCGACCTCCGCGCGTGTGACTGAGACTGATAATTATACCTGAACCCACATGCAATTACAGATGAATACCGAACACCGAAATTAACGCTATCACTGGGGCTAAGTATTGCGAAAAGTGCCTCACAAAAATCAAATATCCGCTTTCAAAAATAGGTAGGATACAGGGGTGTCTTCATCTCAACTGTGTCACACTGTAAATTACATTTTTGCAACTCATGGGCTTTCAAACAAAATATTTCCTACAGGGCAGAACAAGAACAATAAATTAAGAACCGAGAAAATGATTCCTACCAAAATATAATTGGAAGGTCTTTGTAGACAAAAATAGGACTACAACATGGAACTAGCTGATGGCAACTTTTGATGAAGATTAAGTATACATCGTTGAAACAATTTAATGCAGTCTTCTTCATCTTTACCCTTCTCATAGCATATGAGGAAACACACATACCTACAGCTGCAGTTGCAACAGTTCCTTCCTCATCGACTTCAATCTCTGACTTCTGGATAATTCTTGACAAGTACAGATACTGGTCGAACATTTCCAATAAATTGGCTTTGTCGATGTCGAAAACATCTTTGATTCCAATCTGACTCAAGAAATAAAAGAATATAAAATAAAAAAAGTTGATGTTTAAAATAACAAATTATATAAACACTCCCTCAACAAAGACAACACAAATGAAATCTATTGGTACCTTACTATGCGTTTTATTTAACATGACAAATGTGTGAAAAGAAAAGCTATGGTATTGTCAAAGGTAGATAAAATACGAGAAAAACTCTTATTCAGCTTGGATAATTTTCGGTTAAAATTCATAATCATATTTCCTGGTTACGAGGTTGTCATCTGAGAAAACATCAAAACAAATCGTACGATACAATCACTCAGTGTTAGAGATAGTATTCGATGTCGGTTCGTATCTTCTGATATATGCAGGATAAACAAAGTAGTCCAGAGTTGGCTCGAGGTATACGTAACTACCTCTAAACTGCTTCGTATTACAAAATAAACGGAAAAAACGATGACCTCAAAAAGAATGCATAAAAAAGGAACATTCAAGTAAATCAATCTGCGAAAAATTTTGGAAATTCAATGATAATTCAACAACTCTCACCAACTTTGAATAAAATTACATTTGAATGAATCCATCTGNCCGATATTTGATTCCTTCATTCTGATTGACTAACCGACACAACTCTGTAACAGAAGTTAAGCTGAGTGTTCCACAAGGTTCCGTTCAGGAGTCACGCATGTGAAACGGTCGAAACGGACGCAAAACGGTTGAAACGCATGTAAAACGGTCGAAACGCATGTAAAACGGTCGAAACGCATGTAAAACGGTCGAAACGCATGTAAAACGGTCGAAACGTATGCAAAACAACGTATTTTGGAATGCCGCCGTCGAATACTTCGCTTTCCCCATTGCCCCCCACGTTAACTTCACAACACGTAACTCCTCGACACCTCTAGTGCCATCTCTCCTTCTTCTGATGATTCTTACTTGGTCAACAAAGATACAACTTAGTGTCCTTCTGACATGTTGGAACGCTAGACTTCTTTTGAACCGACATGTTTTTTTCCTCAAATGGTGTATTTTGAAACGCCCTGTATTCTGAAATTATGTATTTCGAGACACCCTGTACACATTGAGGGATCGCACGTTAAAATGTTAGGGCCCCGTTAAAGACTTATGTTTTTTCAAATAATGGATTTTGTCACACCTTGTACACAAAGACGTCATGTTTTTTTTCTCAAATGATATATTTTGTACACATTGAGGGATCATACGTTGAAACGTTAGGGTTCTGTTGAACTGTCATGTTTTTTCTCAAATAATGTATTTTGTCACACCTTGTACACATATTGACTTCATGTTTTTTTCATAAATGATGTATTTTGAGGCACCCTGTACACATTGAATAATCGCACGTTGAAACATAAGAGCCCTATTGACCTGCCTTTTTTTTTAAATGATGTATTTTGCCTCACCTTGTACACATTGACGCCATATTTTTTTCTTGATGTATTTTGAGACTTCCTATACACATCATGGGATCGCACGTTAAAACATTAGAGCCCCGTTAGTCTGTATTTTTTTCTTAAATGATGTATTTTGCCATACCTTGTACACATTGATGTCATGTTTTTTCCTTGACTGATGTATTTTTAGATACCCTGTACAAATTAAGCGATCACACGTTGCAACGTTAGAACCCCTTTGAACTGCCATGTTTTTTTTTATTGACTGACTGATTTTACTGACATCACTGCTCAAATCTTTTTATTTTTTCCTGGCTAGATCCCATTTGATTATTCTTCGACATTTTGGTCCCACCATAACGTTTCACAAAGTGAAACTCGAGGCTGTACAGAACAATTTCCTGAAATATGACTGTGTTGCATTAGAACGCATATCGGACATACTCGTACCTTTTCTCGAGGAACGCAGAAAACATAGAGACCTTACCAGCTCCGAACTGCTCTCCAAATTATCTCTAATTGTCCCCAGTCGTTCAACTAGACAGGCTCAATTATTTCATGTTTCTTTTCACAGATGCAATAACTCACACATCAGCTTCATGGCCATACCTCTTCGATTAGCTAACTCTTTGAATAACCTTCAAATCTTCAATATATCAGTTTCCCGTTTCAAAAATCATAATACAGTAGGATCCCGGTTATCCGAGGTAATGGGGTGGAACCCATCTCGGATAAGTGCATTCTGGAATAATCCGGATTTATTCATTATTCGTCTAATAAAACATTATTTATGTTCCTAAAATATTTTATTAACAACGAGATATGTGGAATGTAGATAAGGACACTACAAAACAGTAAAATAACTATCTATTCGCTTCTGTTTCACATTGCATCGTCTCTTTCTCGCTGCAGTGTTGCGCTATCTATTAAGAAGGAGTAGATCAGCAGGTTTTGCCTCTGGTTGCTGCTTAATATATATTAAAGCAAGCAAAACCTTCTTGATGGTATATCTTGGTGGCAGGCTCTTCATCTACCACTTCGTCGTCGTTATCGACTTCTCCGGTTTCCTGCAAGACTCCGTCATTTCTTCGATACTTAGTTCTTCTTCTATGTTATCTGCTGTAATCCATTCAACAACATCTTGTCTCGTCACATTCTCGCAACCCTCTAATGCTCGCATTACTTCAAACAAACTTTTTTCTTCTTCCTTGATTTTCTCTGTCTCATTGACAGAACCGGGACCTTCTCAGCTTTTCAATTGAGAAGCTAAATCATTCAATGGAATATCTTCTTCACTGTCATAAGAGTCCTCAGAGTCAATAACTTTTGACTAAGATTTTTGAATAGTGGAAGGGCGAACAGAATCCCAAGCTTGACTCACCAAGTATACATTTTTCAGTGTAATCTTTCTCAATTCATAATTCTATCTTTTTGTTCTGTGTATGCTAACAAATGTTCAAGAAACAAACGCTTATAATTCTTTAGAATGTTTTCGAGGACGTATAGGTGTATTTCACCTTTCTAGCCGGTAAAAAATATTTTTAACTTTTTCGCACAAAACAGTATGATCATTTATTTTTTGCTGACTTGAAAAATAATTGAGTCATCTATCACAAAAAAACTTTTGTCCTCTATGATTACTCATTTGTTTTGAAAATAGTATAGACATATCTTTGATCCAACAATAATGCAATTTAATTTCAGTCTCGTCATCATCATTAATAGGTGGAGCCTCATAATCGTTCAATTTTGGAAAATATTTTATTCGAATTAATAACAAATTAACATGTCTGTCTCGTTTTGTTTCCGTGAGTCTGGCAGGTACTACTACATAAAATGATTTTTCCTTTACTTGATTCAATTCCAAAGTGTAAACATTAACAGAAATAATATGATTGAGTTTTTCAAATTTGGAAATTTCATGTGAGTATCCAGCCCTGTAGTATTCAAAACTGTAGAATGGTGTGGATATTTTGACACTCTCTGTGAATTTATTGCTACAGGATACAAGGCGCTAATAATACTCCGAAAGAAGCACATTTCGTCATCGTTTCGTACATAAATGCATGCCTGCTTCCTTGCGATTTCTTGCAGCAGTGGAATGAAAGAAGAACCGTTACCAATCACATATTCATTAATTGCTACTTCCAACAAAAGAATTTTACTCAAAGCCCACCTCGACAGTTGTTTTTCAAATTCGCCTAATTTATTCAATATAACATCCACAGGGTTTTCATTGTACCAAGCAGTCAAGTCCGTACCTGAATCGATAACTTTATTTGGTGTACTGAAATATTTACGATGAACAATTTCTCCATCATTCTCTTTCTTAATAAAATATTTTTTCCCCAACCGAAAATTTGATTTCTTTTATAACAAAACGCATTTGCTTATATGTTCATCAATGAATTGTATAGCTTGTCTTGCAAAATACTCTGAATAATTATCTCTAATGACTAAAAAAGGTAATTATCAATTACCGACTTGATTTTTGAAATTTGGATTATATTTATTGACATGACTCACCGATATTTTGTTCACAAATGAAATTTTTGGTGTGATGAGTAGGTTTTGTAAGCTGCAGAGAATTGAATCTCGTTCTGTGGACACTGATGAGATGGTTCTGGAAGCTGTTGAGATTAAAGTTCGTTCTGGAAAGGTTGCTAAGACGATTTTGGATGTAGTTGTTGAGACGATTCTGAAGTTATACTGCACACGTTGATGTAGTGTTCTGAAATAAATGCAATCTTCAATACAAACATACACCAAATGAAAATAAAATTCGAGAGTGGGGGTAATGTTATCATGGAGTGATTGTGAAAAATGAGCGAGCTACAGTTATAATTGAAAAAATCAACTGTCATCCAAAACAACGAATTTAAACAAATTGTTATTGTTGTTAATTGGTTTCCTCACCACGACTGAACTTGAATTTCAGGAAATCCACCTGAGAGAAACCAAAAATAAAAAAACAGTTAATGTTTCAAATTATACGAACACTCTCTCAATAAACGACAACATGAATGAACGTTATTCGTTACTTACTCTGTGTTTTATTCAACTAGAAAGCTGCTCACAAAATGATCTTCTGTTTACTACATAATAAATGTGTATATAGACAAGATATGGCATTGTCAAAGGCAAATAGATAAAATACGAGAAAAACTCTTATTCAGCTTGGATGATTCTCGAGTAAAATTCATAATCACGTTTTCCGGTTATGGGGCTGCCATTTGACAACAAAACAAATTGTACGATACGTAAATACCTCTGAACTGTTTTGTATTACAAAATAATTGAAAAAAACGTAAACCCTTAAAAAGTATGTATAAAAAACTCTCAAGTAAATCAAACTAAGAAAAGTTTTGGAAAATTGATGATAATTCAATAACAACTCTCACCACCTTTGAATTACATTAAATTTGAATAAATTCATTTGTGAAAAAGTCAAAAACGTATAAAAAATCTTGCAATAAAAATTCATGAAGTGAGCATGAAAAACACTTAGTTTCAAATAGAATCGTTGCACGTATTACTGGTATCACCTTCAACTGATACAACTAACTCGCGTTTCGCCTCGCAGGAGGTATTTATGGAAAAATAAGTGATGACAAATTATGGAATCAAACAAAGAGCCTTTGTTCCGTCGCTTTGAAAACGCATATCTCTGGATGCTGATTCAGCATTGACAGTGATCAATGTCACCTTGGGTAAGAATAGGAAAATAGGTGATGACATATTATGCAATCAAAAAAAGAGCCTTTGTTTCGTCGCTTTGAGCCATATGTCTGGCTTTATCGATAAGTGATAGCGATAATTCTGCATACCTATATTATATATTCTCACCAACTTGAAATAAAACGAAAAATTTACTGTTTCAATCAAAATATGCATTTTTTTATTAAATTCCATAATTGTTTTACAAATCTAATCAAAATACATGCTAACATCGTATATCCTATGATAATTTTATAAACGTCAAATTCCATTTGTGACTTATTTTTCTCTTGCCTCGTTGAGTGTTCTGGAACAAATTCAACAGTTTTTTGTATCTAACTGACGAAGATCTTGAAATATCAACTTCAATTCACATTTGAATGGTGTATTCTTTGGAATTGTGCCTGAGCAAATACTGCTAACTGACTCTCATGAACTGATGTGAAACAAATCTATTTCCATTGTTTACATCTATAAACACTAGCCTTTACGCATATTTCCTTGGAATTTCACCCACATACGTATATTTATTTATTTTTATTATAAAGTGTAGTCATTAATTTTGGAAGTTTAGAACCGGGCGGTATTCGATGTTCAGCAGCAAATGAAAAGTCTTCATGTGAATCATGAAGTTTCTTTGGGTACTCTAAATCTACTTGAAAAAAATAACCTTCTGGCGCATCGTCTGATATCGTCATACGTTAATATAATCATCATCATCATCACTTTTTGATACAATGCCAAATTTATCAACATTTTCAATCCATTTGAATCCCCATGAGAGTAAAAATTCACTCATAGCCCACCCATAAAGATTGTTCACATCTAAATGAAGAATAAACTTAGATGAGTTTGAAGGATCATAATTCGGCATATATTCATTGTTAGCATCTGAAAATCGGTTGCTGCAAACAGATATTCCACCTCTTATGCTTTTTTCTATGAATAAAATCATATCAACATCCTTCAATGATTCTAATTCACACTTTGTATGCTTCAACATGCAATCCCACGAATATCCAGGCATAGTATACCATGCTGGATCTAAGTGATATTTATCTCAATATTTTTACCTGAACTGCTCAAAAATATCTCCAAGAAGTAAAATGTCTGTTTTTAAATACAAGTCACTGTATTCCCCCAAATTTTCACATCTGAAAGTATTCCAAACCTTCTGAGCATGGGCATACATTTTTTCGCTAATGTGTTCATCACACAATTTATTATAAAAATGTTCAATTGATGGTATTGAAGTTTCCTCCAATTTATCCAAACCATCAATATAATCATAACAAAATACATCTTTACAAGTCAATAAATGAAATGTATCATCATCCAAGCAACTGAATTCTCGTTTAAGTAGTTTTTTTTCAGATACATCTAAAATTGTAGCCAATTTATCGAGGGCTCCTGAAAATCTTAATGAATTTATGAATCTGAGTTTGATATTGTTTTCATCTGAATGTAGAGTGAAAGAAATATACTTTTCCTTATTAACGGGTAGTAGGGTCAAATGACCTCGTTCACATAAATCGCTAATCATAAAATGACTAACACACGCACTCAAATTATGAAAAACTACAGAAACGACTAACAGTTTTTTTAAATTCAAATTGCGGGCTTGATGTGCGTATCCTCTGAATTGACCTGTAAAATGATCGAGTTCGCCAACAATCACATCCGTAGCTGAAAAGCTTTTTTCACAAATATGACATATTGTCACCTCACATGAATTAGGCTTCTCCACTACAGGTACGATTGTTTTTATTTTCATATTTATCATTTTTGAAATTTCAGCCATTCCATTTGCAAACCAATTCATAAATTTTCTCCTCTATAACTATTGAAATATGATAATTTATCATTGTATGAGCATTTCAGGTAGTAACCTGCACTGAAAGGTACGTGTTTTTGATATTTCTTCGTTTTTCTATCGGAATTAACATTAGAATCTGCGAAATATTTCAACTGACATTCAAAATTAGCGTAAATTATGAATAGGGTAGATTTTTTGTATACAAAATTTCTGAAAGCTACATGATTGTATTTAGGAACCGACATTTTACAATTATTCTAATCCAAACAATATTCCTCATTTTCAGTTGATTTACTTTCACTAGAAAAATAATTTACGCAGCGGTCACAAATGAATATTTTACTTTTTTTAGCTGACATCTGTGAACCAAGTAATTTCCCTAAATCTTCAATCCAATAATAATGATCATCATCATAATCATCTTTTGGTGGAGCATCGTAATTATCCAACTCTGGAAAATATTTGTTTTGAATGAGAAGCAAATTTACATATACTGCAAGCTCATTTTCCGTAAGTCTATCAGGTACTACGTTATAAAAAAGTTTTTTCTCATTTTCAATCAATTCCAGCGCAAAAACATTAACCGATATATTATTCAATTTTTCAAATTTTGACATATCGTTTAAAGGCATAGGTTCTTTCGATTT